GCGAAAGAGGAAGTGCAAAGAAAGAAAGAAAAAAAAAATAAGTGTGAATGATATCTGTAAAGCTAACGTTGATAAAATTTTTTCATATTTTAATAAACTCTGGTACAGTTGAAAATAATGAACATTTTTTTTGATTTGTTTGGATAATACTCTAACACAAATCTTACACAAATCTTAACCATTTTTAGATGTCATACAATCGCTTTTACAATTTATTGTCAAAAATAGGTAACCGAGTGAAATAAATTTTGCTTTTTTAAGTGCAGATTATAAGTAAAAAAAAAAATAATTTTAAACTTTTGTTGTTTAGAAACTCTAGTGTTTGTTCCTTTTTTTTTTTTTGATCAGACCAAGTTCACTTCAATTTTGTCACATAAACTAAACAATAATAATTGTTTAGATTAATTTCGCATCATTGATGCTACTGCTTAACAATAAAGAAAAAGTTTATTTGGTCGTTCTCTGATCATATTGTCAGAAACAAAATATTAGCAGGTTTTACAAAAAAAATTTTTTTTTTTCTTATGCTTTTTAATTTTGTATAAAACAGAGATCATTACAACAGTGACCGTTTTTTTTTTCAGAAAGATGAAGAAAGGACTATTTTGCTTCCTGTTGAAAAAACAGAGAGAGACAGAGAGAGAGACAGAGAGAGAGAGAGAAGAGCAAAGAACAAAGAGTGCAACATAAAATTTGAAAAAAGACAAAACATTATTTGATTAGTTGATAATTACAAAAAAACACTCTTAGTTGTTCTATTTAATTTATTATACAAAAACATTAGTAAAAACATATAAACAAAAAAATAATACGTGATGATGACCATCACAAATTGAGTACACATATGTTAACAAAAAATAAAGAAGGAAGAATTGAAGACTAAAAACAGAAAAAAAAAATTTTATATTGTTTTAGCCAAAAAGATAAAAAAAATTTGAAGAATTGGTTAACAAGATTTGGTTTTTTATAAGCAATTACCTACAGAAATAACAGAAATTTGTTGGTTTTTTTTTTTCTGTTCTGTTTATAAACACGGAAAGACATAATTAATTTGTTAAATTTTTGGTCTTCAAAATTTTATTGTATGAATAATGACTGCTGTTTTGCAGGTGTGGAAAAGTGTCTGTGTATGCGGTTTAGAGATGTATTTCTCCAAAAAAAAAAAAAAAAAAAAAAAAAAAAAAAA